ATGCGTGCCACAGAGAGCACATGGGAGTCAGAAGGCAACTTGAGGGAAGCAGTGTGTCCCAAGGACTGAATGCAGGTCATCAGGTTTTGTGACAGCGCTATCCCCGCTGAGCCGTTTCGCCAGACCCCTGCGCAGTTTTAAACCCTAGACCCCCTCCTCCACTGCACTGGGGAACAGGGGCCTATTGTGCTAGGGGCTGCCCCTGAGCTCACAGCGAGTTCTGATGAAGAAACTGAGGACTGGAGAAATGACTCACCTCAGCCCATGCTGGGTTACAACAGCACCAGATTCAGGACTGAGGCGACCGACCCACATAGGCAGAGGGTGCCCTCTGACCGTCTTTCAGCGACTCCTCTGGGTCTCCTTTCCCCTGGTTCTGCACACCTTGCCATGGCCCTGCCTCCCACTCCCACCAGCATCTCGCTGTTTCATGCAGTGAAGGAAAAACAACACATGAGTTGGGGTGGAAAAACTGGGTCAAGACTTCAGGCAGGCGCAAGGGTGAATGTCTGCCCAGCCTGGCAAAGCCTTGGTCCAATACCCAGAACATCACGGGGTGGGGTGGGGGAATAAGGAGCTAAGGCAATAATTTACAATATATTAGTAAACTTTAATTTTTTTTTCTGAGATTATAACTGTAACAAATACCAGGAGGGGAAAATTTGGAAGATAAATTATCATCGTAATACCCAGAGAGGATCACTGTAAAAAGGTTTGACAAATCCTGATGCAGTTGGTGTACTGGTTCACACCTCTAACCCCAGTGTTTGGAGGCTGGGGCAGGGGGGCTGATAGGAGTTCAAGGCCAGGCTATTCTATCTGGCGAATTTCTGACTGGTCTGGGCTGTAGAGTGAGATCCTGTCTTAAAACAAAACAAAACAAAAAAACAAAAAACAAAAAACGCAAACGACAACAACACAAACCTCAATAACAAATTTCATACCAAACAAAACAAACACATTAAGTATTTCAGCAGCTGTTCTTTTATTTCCAAAAAGTCATGAAAATATCTCGTTTACATAAAATGATTCATTTAGCAAACCATATAAGCACCTGCTATATATGCCCAGCATTGTTCTGGGTCGAGGTATGAAGCAATTTTCAGAACAATGCAAATCCTCATTCTCACAAAGCTACAATCTTGTGGGAGAAAGTAATCGACAAATAAATGTGAGATGGGTTTGGTGGCGTTGGGCATTCTGAAGACAAAGCAAAGCCAAGCAGGGGAGACGGAGAGGGGTTCTGGTGCTGATGTATAAGGGCTGTTTTGGAAGGCTGCTGTGAGGAATGGCGTTTAGGGTGTAGAGCAGAGTGAACCAAGCATCCACCCACTCACTTACCCAGTACTGACTGAGCATGTCTGACACTGAGGATCCAGCAGTAAGAGATCTTTACATTCTGGGTCACACGTCCTCCTTTTTAGGGCAGAAACTCTTGAGGGAGTTGTTTTGGGGAGTTTTTTTTTTTGTCTTTTATTTTCTTCCTTTTTTCCTTCCTCCCCCAACCCCTGTCCATTCCAGTTCAGGCTAAGCAGCGGAAGTTGGCCCCAAACTGCAGGCTCTCAGTCTTGGAAGAGTTGGGATTAGGATGTGACCCACGACACCTAGCTTCACACTCAGCTTCAAGTGACAGCCTGCCTCAGCCTCTCCGGTTGCAGGAACTACGAGAGTGCGCACAGCTGAAGCCTTACTCTGTCCTACTAAATGGTTTGCAAACTGAAAATTTCAGGATAGGGGCCAGTAAGGACACCTATTCTTTGTATTCTTTTTCTTTTGTTGGAGACAGGGTCTCTATGTAGTTTTGGCTATCCTGGACCCTGCTATGTAGACCAGGTTGGCCTCAGACTCACAGAGGTCTGCCTGCCCCTCCCTCCCTCCCAAGTGATGGGATTAAAAACCACTGAGCCTGTTGAGTATTTAAACTAGAAGACACAAAAAAGTCTAATGACTTTCCTCCCAAAGAAAAAGACTGGCTCGATTCTATCTCTGTTCCCTGAGGCCTCCCCCACGCCCACTAAGAAATACAATCTAGTAGTTCCTTTTCTATTACCGTAATAAAGTACCCTGACAAAAGCCATTGTGAAATACAACAGTTGTAGTTACTTTTCTACTACTGTAATCAAGTATCCTGACAAAGGCAACTTGGAAGGGATTATTTTGGTGTAGAATTTGAGGTTATTAGCCCATCAAGCCTGGATGGAAAAGGCTGGTAGCAGGCCCTTGAGGCAGCTGGTAACTTTGCATGGACCCCTGCTATAATTAATCTAATCTAGAAACACCTTACCGACTTTCCCAGGAGTTGTTTCCCTGGCGATTATAAAGTCTATCAAGCTGATGATCAAGATTAACCAAGACAGAGGGCTCCAGCAGCCTAGGCTGGCTTTGAGCTCGTGATACAGTTGAAGCTGCCGTGAACTGGTCTCCGGCCTCACCTCTCCAGGGCTAGGGTTGTAGATACTCAACCCCACACCCAGTTTCCTGTTCCCATCTTAAATGTTTACCAGGGTTCTCTCAGTTCATCTAATTTTACTTTCCCACACTAATCATTATTATTAAAAATAGCTTTGACTTACCATAATTTATTTAGAGAGATAGACATGTGTTTTCTAAACATTTGGCCACTTTCTTTTGGCAGCTCATTTCCTTTTGACCTTAATTTTCTTCTTCAAATACATCAGAAGTTTCCCCTGTAAAGGCCTGTGGTGGTTGTCTGTTTTTGTTTATCTGAAGATGTCCTTAACTACTCTTTTAGAAACAAATGACGTTCTCCTCAGGCATGGGCGGCCTGCACCTCTGATCACATTTGGAAGACTGAAGATGAGATGGAACAGCCAGCAAGACCCTGGCTCAAAAGTTAAAAATCTGACTTTATTCAGACATAATCCACGCAACAGATTTCAGTTTCTGGTGTGTGTGCGCGCGCACGTGCGCAATAAGGAGATATAGGACTTTATTACACAGTTAAGTATCAAAAACCAAAGGAGGCAGGGGAGAAATCTCCCACCTTTTACTCTAGTGACCATTAAATTCTGTGGTCTCTTTTTAGATCTGTCTACTCTGACGTGTTGCCTAAATGGACTCGTACATGTGTCTTAAATTACTTTATGTGTATGAGTGTTTCTTACATGTGTCTCAAGTTGTTTTATGTGTATGAGTGTTTCTCCTGCATGTGTGCAGTGCCTGTGAGACAGGTGCACTATGTGGATGCTGGGAACTGAACCCAGGTTCTCTGAAGAGCCTCCAGGGTTTGTAACTCTGAGCCACCTCTCTGGCCTCGAGAATGGCTCCTTTTAATTTCCATAATGTTTTCAAGTTTCATCGGCATTATGGCATATACCAGTGGTTTTTGTTTTGTTTTATTCATTTATTTTAGTTCTTCTGTGTGTAGTCCTGCTATCCTGAAAGTCGTTGGCTCTGTAGACCAGGCGAGCCTTGAATTTAGAGATCAGCCTGCCCTTGCCCTGGTGTTTTGAGACAGTGTTGCTTATAACCTGGTACCCAACTCACTAGGTACTGGAAGACCTTGAATTTGTCCTGGTCCTCCTGCACCCACCTGCCAAATGCTGGGATTATGGGTGGTACTAGAATAAAAAGGTAAACACTCTATAGCCCCTATACTTACCTTTTCTTAACAACACACTGTGGAGACTCTGTGTGTGTGTGTGTGTGTGTGTGTGTGTGTGTGTGTGTGTGTGTGCAAACTGCCTTTTCTTTTCCTGGCTTATAGCAATCCTTGTATGAATGTCCCATGACTTATAGAACCAGCTTCTATTGTGGGCTTTCTCTGTCCTTCCTAACTGGATACAGTACTGTGGTAACTCCATTCTCCAGGGGTGGAAGCTTACCTGAGGGATAATTCCCAGAAGTGGAATTCTAGGTAAAGGGGCACTGACGCTATGGATAACGATGAACCAAAACTAATGTGGTTTGCTCAAGGAAAACTGATTCCACGGACTTCTGTCTGTCGGCCAGCACGTCTCTCTTCTTCCGGGCATCCCCGCCCTCTCTTCGACTGACTAGACATCCTGAAAAGTAGGGGAAAGGTCACGGCAAGAGTTTGCTTCCTCCCTTCAACTTCGGTTAGCTTAGAGGTGAGGGCTTTTCCCACACACAGAGTTGGTTCTTGCTCGGTACACTGACTCGCCGATCCTAGAGATCGGGGAGCCTCTCGATCCCTGCCTCCGATCCCAGTCCACTTCACCCTGAGAAGGCATAGGGCCACTCACAACTTTCCATGTGTGGATGTTCACTATTAGAACTGCCCTTAATTCTAGGCGCGCGCGCGGAGGTGGGGGGGGGTGTCTTTTCCCATTCTCGGCTTCCCCAGGAAATCTTTTATGAGATTCCCCTTTGGAGATAAAATGTCTGCATTGTTTTGATCGGGGCTGGCGGGTAAGGCAGATAGATCAGTTTCCAGGTCTGAAACCTGGACCATGACTTCCTCCCTCTCTAGTTCAAGCTGAAGGCACCTTTTAAAGCAAGTCGTTTATTTTAAATGAATGAAAACAAAAAGCATCTAGGAGTCTAATGCCCTCACTGGGGACCGGATCCACTGAGGGCAAAGTGATTTGTCCAAACGCCTTAATGCCAGAAGAATATTTCACTTTCACTCGGGAGGGTTCGAGGCCAGCCCGGGCTACACAATAAGAACCAGCTTTAAAAAAGAACCCATGCCGGGCCTACTACACGCCCCCAAGTGGCGTCACTTCAAGAATGGTGACCGGGAGGGTTGTGAGAAGGCGCCTTTTGGATTCTGGTTTTCTAGAAGGCCGGCGGGGTTGATCCTCACGCCAGATCCATTCCGGACAGCAGTGAGTCATCCGCAAACCGCGTGCTTGCCGCGACCCTCTGCGGAAACCCCGATGACCAGGCTAGCTGATGCAGGGGCAGGGCGAGCAGCGGACGTGCCCCGGAGGAGCGCGCGTGCGGCTTCGGTACGCATGCGCGGCCCCCGGGGGCGGGAACTCGGCCATTGGTGGGCGGGGCTTCGAGGCGTCTTTTCTCTTGCTACTTCTTCGTATCCCGAGCAGTGCCTGCGTGGAGCTTCCACGCTGCGACTCCAAGGACCTTCCTCCTTGAGCCTGCAGGACCTGCTGTGATAGCGAGCAGCCGTCTCCTGACTCTTCCTCCTGAGGTAACTGGCCCAGGACCCTCCAGACCGGAGGTCGAGTCCTGGATCCCTAGTCCCACCGATCGGGCTGCCTGGGCTCTCTTTAGGACTGTGCCTTCAGAGCTTCCCTCGGCTCTCTTGGCCTGGCCCAGTCTGTGAACCCCTTGAGCCACCAGTGCTCGCCCATCATGTGTACCCCAAACGCCCTTCTCTTCTCCTTTCTAATGTCTCTATTAGAGTGTTGTGTCGTAGCTGCCCCTCGGAAGGCTGTGCTCTTGTCTGTAGGACGATCGCGTGGCCCAAAGTACCTTCCAGAATGCCTAAGCTACTTGAAAGCATTCAAGTATGCTTGGACAAATTAACTTGATTTAACTTTCAGTAATTTTGTGGTATATGTTTAGAATTTCGTGTATGCTAAGGCTTATACCGCTGGCTATGTTGCCAGCTCTAACGGTTTACTTGACAAGGCTTCACGATAGTAGCTTTTGATTCTCCCTGTAGCTGGGGCAGACCTTAAACATGCATTCCTTCCGCCTCAGCCTCCTTCGCAGCTGGGATTACAGGCGTTTGCCACCTATATCATTTATATTTATAGTGACGTTCAAGAAGTTTGCCATCAAATGTGTGATTGAGAAGAGACTACACAGATTGCCTTATCTAGGGTATGTTCTTTTCATTCCTGTTGGTGCTCTAACATCCTGGGAAAGCTCTCTGTACCACTTGAGTTATAGTTTGAGCCTCTTTTTTATTTTTCCCAAGACAGTGTTTCTCTTTAGAATTCTCTCTGTAGACCAGGTTGGCCTTAGAGATCCGACTGCCTCTGCCTCCAGAGTGCTGGGGTTAAAGGCCTGTGGGACCACCACCTGGCGCCCAGGCTAGGTTTTAACTCACTGTGTAGCCCCAGGCATGCACCACTGACCACATCTAGCATTTTCTTTTGTATATTATGTATGGGCATTTTGCCTCCATGTTTTGTCTTTGTGTTTGCTATGCATCATGGTTGTATGGTGCCTGGAGAGGCCAGAGATGGTGTCAGATTCCCTGGGACTGGAGTTACAGATGATTGTGAGCTGCCATGTGGGTGCTGGCAGTTGAACCCCAGTCCTCTGCAAGATCGGCCAGTGCTAATGGCTGAGCCCCATCTCTCCATCATGATTCTCTTATAGTTTCCCTTACATAAAGGTAAGTACCGGCACTGTAACATAGGGCTTGTACATTGCTCTTGGTAGGAATGGTCTTCAAGAGAAGTAAAGGTAGCTGAATGTGTCGACTGTACCTGTTATCCCAGCACTTGGGAGGCAAAGACAAGAGGATTGCTTCAAGTATGAGGCTAGCTTGGGCTACATAGCAGGATTCTGGAGGGAGTGAGAAGGAAAGACAAGCAGTTCTATGCAGTGTTCTTGAAATTGTTCCAGAGTGTGATTTGTTCTTCAGCCGTGGCGTTTGTAGTGCAAATATACTTGGAGATGCTGCTGTAAGCAAACATGCAGGCTCTCTGGCTGGCAGGGTCTTTCTTCCTCGAGTGAAAACAAGGATGTATACACATGCCCAGAGACTAGATTATGGACTCTTCCTCTCTCTTCACAGGATCTAGAAGCAGAAGGCAGCTCTACTCCCCTGCAAAGGAGCTGGGCATTGCAGCCATGAAGTACATGTTGAACCTCTATCTGCTGGGGGTCGTATTGACCCTGCTGTCCATCTTTGTTAGACTGATGGAGTCAGTCGAGGGCTTACTGGAGAGCCCAGTGCCTGGGAGCCCCTGGGTCGCCAGAGGTCAGCTAGCCAACACGGAGCCTCCCAAAGGCCTTCCAGACCATCCGTCTGGAGGAGTACAATAAAACCAAGCTGCAGCCGGACTTTGGCACACCAATTTCAGCATGTCCAACCAAGTGTTCCATTTCTGAAGCGGCAGCGTCGGTGTCTCCAAAGAACTGTTACTGGGCTTGGAAGGGCCTTTTTTGGATGTTGCTTACCCTGGAAAGGGGCCTATTTAATGTAGGAGTGTGAGTGGGTTGTCCGTCCCGCTATGGGATGGAATCTCACTCTCCCGTCGTTTGACGTAGGCTTTGCTGTCCTCTGCAGTGTGGCTCTCAGATGAGGGTGTACCGGCTTCAGCTGTTGGGAGAGTCAGGTTCTTTCAGCCCTCTGTCCTGAAGGACTCTTTTGGACCTAGGTATCTTCTGGTTGGTTTGATACTGAGTCTCTTCCATGAGAGCTGTTTGGGCAGCAGTTAAGGGATTATGGGCTGGCTATAAAGTGAGAGAGGTTGGAATATCCAGCATCCAGGTCTCAGTTGTACATTAAGTTCTTCCTCCAATGTAGTCCGCATGCGTTGTAAATAATGTCTAAAGAGGGCTGTGGGGTGATCAGACCCGCTCAGGGTGTGGGAGAGCCAGCCACTGTGTGGCTTAAATGAATTTTTCTAATGTAATAAATGTGACTATATATGTTTCCACTATGTGTCATGTTGACATGTCTGCCCTGGAAATTAGTAAGGAAAAGTTTAGATCCTAGATCTTCAAGTAAACCTTGTCTATGTATGTATGTCTGTTATGTATGTATGTATCTATCATCTATCTATCTATGTATTTGTTTATGAGATGAGGTCTCACTGTGCAGTCCTGGCTATCCTGGAGGTCCCTGTGTAGACCAGGCTGTCCTTCTTAGTGCTGGGATTAAAGGTGTGTGCCACGACCATGCCTGGCCATTTTTATTTTTGAGAGTCTCCTGTAGCTAAGGCTGGCCTTGATCTTCTTATCTACCTGCCTTTACCTTCTAAAGGATGGGATGGCTTATACTTAAACTTAGTGTTTTCAAATTTAGGAGCAAGAAAGTGCTCAGAGCTTTGTTTAGGAACTAAGCATTGTAGTATAATGCTTACGATCCTTAGCACTTAGGAAGCTCAGGCAGGAGGATTGCTAAAAGTTCCAAGGACAGCCAAGGCTGCGTAGCAAGACTGAACACAAACAAAAAATTTTGTTTAAACATATTTGGGGACAGGGCTTTTCAGGTTTGCCGTGTATCAGCCAGTTAGGTATATAAGCATAGGCTATCACAATTGATCCTTCATAACCGCCTGCAGGGACTCAACCAGTTGTAGGTTGAGCTTTTGATTATTAGTGCTCAGGATTGAACACTAATTGAACAGGCTTTGTACGTACTAGTAAGCACTATACCGCTGAAACTAAATCAGCCCTGGAAATACTTTTTTATACTTACTTACTTTTAAATACATTTGTATTTTGCCTGCAGGTATGTCTGTGTGAGTGTCAGATCTTGGGGTTACAGACAGTGTTGAGTTGCATGTGGGTGCTGGGATTTTTGAACCTGGTTTTCTGGAAGAACAGTTAGTGCCCTTAACCGCCGAGCCATCTTTCCAGCCCCCAAAATATTTTTTTAAAATTATGCCCATGATGAACTATTTTTGTCCATGATCAGACATTTTTCATTTTATATCATGTTAGGTACTGTAAGTAACTCAGGGGTAAGCGTATGTTAGGATATGCTTGACTCCTCTGCAGATAAAATGCCATTTTATGTAAGAGACTTGTCTTCAAGGCAGATTGTTGCATTAATTCCCCCAAGGACCATTTGGTCTTCTTGGGACTGATCCGTCTCTAAGAAAAATGCCCTGTCCTAGCCTTTCCTTGAGTCTGAAAGAGGACAAGCAATCCTCCAGTTCTTGGCTACTCGGTTCTCTTCATTGTCTTATGCATGCGGCTGTTTAACTCTGTTTGCTGTCAACCTAGGTCAGCTACTGTCTGCAACAGCCTGTGTTGTGAGAGCTCGCGAAGCGACCCAGACAGGCCTCGAATTTAAGATCCTTCCACCCAAGCCTCAAGGATCTGGGGTTTAGCTACCTTGCAGGCGGTGTTTCTGCCCTCACCCAGATCTGAGCTGCTTCACCTTTATAGAACAGCAGAAGAGCGTCTTTTGTTTTGTTTTGGAATAGTCTCACCACTTAGCCCCATCTGGCCTAGAACTCTGTGTAGCTGAAGTGACCCAGACTCTTCTCATTCAGAGCCCCATCTGCCCCAAGTGCTGGGATTAAAGGCGGGTGGCATGGTGACAGGCAGAGAGGGTCCCTTCCCCCTTTCCGCCACTCCATCCCACGTGCTGCATGTGAAAGTGCTCACTTTGCCCCAAGCCACTTTATCTTCTCTCATCATTGTACGTACACTCTTTTATGAATTTGATTTCCTTTTGCCCCCAAGAAAGGAATGGAACACAGCATCCTGTTCAACCATCCCTGCTTTCTGGGTGCTCTTAATTCAACTGACTGATAAAACCGGCATAGGAATTCATTTTATCTGTGCTGTGTGGAAGTCAGTGTATTGCCAAGCTCCCCATTCTAGGTACATAGTGCATTTTTCTTAGCCAAAGGTTCAAGAAGCGATTTCTTTACTGGGTCTTGCTGTGTAGCCCAGGCTGGCCTCGAACTTGTGATTTCATTGCTGAGGTTTAAGATATGTTGTCACATCTGCTCTGGGCATATGGTAAGCTAATCTTGACACTGATGAGGTTACAGTTGATTTCATTAGTGCAGTAGTGTCGTTGTGTTTGGAGGGATGGCGTGAGGTCTTAGCAGGTAAAACACTCGTCAAGAAGTAGGATGACCTGAGTTTGATCTCTGAAACCTACAGAGTGGAGAGAGAGAACTGATTCCCACAGGTTGTCCTCTGAAGTCCACACATATACTGTGGCATGCTGGCACCCCCCACACACAAAGAAATGTAAATGAAAAAAAAATGTTATTGGGGGTCTGGCAAGATAGCTCAGTGGGTAAAAGTTCTAGTTCTTGCTGCCTAGCCTGATGACCTGAATTTGACCCCCAGGATCCACATGGTGGAAGGTGAGAACCCACTCCTGAAAGTTGTTCTTTGATGTTCACAAATGTACCCCCCCAATAAACTAATAGTTGTACAAGTAAAAAATATAACTGGAAACCCAGCATGGTGGCACACACCTGCCCTCCATGTAAGCTAATGTCACACATATAGTGTTTGTTGGCTTTGTTTGTGTGCACACATGCACACTAATTTAGAGACAGGGTTTTGCTACATAGTCTGTAGTGACTTTGAACTCTTAGCAACCCTCTTGCCTTAGTCTCCTAATTGGTGGGATTACAGGGCTGTACCACCATGCCCAGCTAATTGCAATTCTTTTATCAGTCAAGGACATATTGACTGTCAATATGGTTGACAATAAGGTTATACAATAAGGTTATACAATAAGGTTATATTGTAGCCAGACCTGAGCTCCCATAAAGAAACAGTTGCCTAAACAGTGCTCCCCCTTCCTCTGGAGGGAGGTGCCCTCACCACTCTGGCTGGTTGGTAGTCCACAATCTCAGGATGTTGTGCCCCACCCCCATTCCTCCTCATCTGCCTGACCGCTGTTAGCTGGGCCTCCTCCTGTTACCATGTGTTAGATGTCTGGAAGCATGGCATACACAGCTCAGCCACACTGGGAGAGAAACTTGGACCACACTCAGAACTTGTTAAGTTTGAATTGTAGGTAAAAATTTTAATTTTTTTCCCTTTGAGGGAAGATGTAGTAAGAATAAGGGTGTCTTACTTAGAGAAATGCTCAACATCCTTAGCTGTCAGAGAAATGCAAATTAAAACAACTTTGAGATTCTATCTTACACCTGTCACAATGGCCAAGATGAAAAACACTGATGACAACTTGTGCTGGAGAGGTTGTGGGGTAAGGGAACACTCCTGCATTGCCAGTGGGAGTGCATATTGGTCCAGCTGCTTTGGAAATCAGTACAGTGATTTCTCAGAAAATTAGGAAATAATCTACCTCAAGATCCAGCAATACCGCTATTGGGTATATACCAAAGGATGTTCAATTATACCATAAGGACATGTGCTTAACTATGTTCATAGCAGCACTATTTGTAATAGCCAGAATCTGAAACAACCTAGATTCCCCTCAAGAATGGATAAAGAAAATGTCATACATTTATACAATGGAGTACTACACATAAGTAAAAAATAATGACATCTTGAAATGGATGGATCTAGAAAACATATTGCAGGCAAATAGATGGATCTAGAAAACATCATATTGAGTGAGGTAACCCAGACCCAGAAAGACAAATATAATATGTATTCACTCTTAAGTGGCTTTTAGACATAAAGCAAAGAAAAAGCAGCCTACAGGTCACAACCCCAGGGAACCAAGACAACAAAGAGAATCTACAAAGGGAGGTGAAAAAGACGAGATCTGAGCATAGGGGTCACAGGAGAGAGCAGAAGGGGACAGGAAAGAAAGGGAGTGGAGAAAAAAGTGTAGCTCAACAAAAACAGTAAGAAAGAGAGAGGGAGAGAGAGAGAGAGGGAGAGAGAGAGAAGAGAAGATAGGGCCTAGGCACATAGCTCAGCCAACAGAGTGCTGTCTAATGTCCTAAATTCCTTTCTATTACTGTGATAAAGACCATAACCAAAAGCAACTTAGGGAGAAAGGACAGCTGGCAGTCCCCCATTGAGGGAAGCCATGGCAGAAGCTCGTGGCAGGAACCTGGAGCCAATTAACAAAAGCTATTCCTTTTTTCAGTACTGAGGACTATTTTTTCAGTACGGAGGAAGGGAGGGGAGTGGAGAAAAAAATATATAGTTCAATAAAAACAACAAAACAAAACAAAAAGTAAGGGTGTCTTACCTGCAGGAGAGATGAGAGTTTGGTAATGGCCTACCAGGAAGGCTACTAGTGGTAATCATTGTAGTCTCCAAATATTCCTGCATTCCTTTGTTTTGAGACACTCTCACTGTGTCTCAAATGGACTCAAAGGCACAGCAATCTTGCCTCAGCCTCATGCGCTAGGATTACACGTGAACGCTACCACTCTTGCCTCGAAGCTCACTCCTGACCCCTTGTGGTCGAGCGAGGTCATAGAACTAATTCTGAGTAGCTTTGGAACAGGTGAGGACTGATTCACAGCGTGGAAGCTCCCCCACCCCCACCCCCGCCAGCCCCCCTACCGTGCTTGGGGAACTAGGATTGGTCTGTACGGAACTTCTCCGTTGGTGTAAGCCCTGGAGGGATGATGCCACAGAGAAGAGCCCTGGAGAGAGGGAAACCAGCCTTTACTGTGCGAAGAGGTTGGGGGTAGGGGCGGCGTTGTTACAGCAACGTAGCCGCTGAGATGGACCACACATTGCATACAGCACCTCCGGAATTCTGACTCCGTCCTCACTGACCTCCTCCAATAGCGCATAAGACCCTAGAGGGGAAAGCAGGTTAAAACAAAAAAACAAACAACAACAACAACAAAACGCAGATGATAATTCTGTGACAGACATTTATATAAGACTGAGGCGCAGGAAGCTATTTGGAGGTAGGTGTTAATGAAGAGCCTCTTCTGATTTGTTTTCCCCTGTAGTTTCGTGTGTGTGATAAGTGAGTGAGTGAGTGTGTGTGTGTGTGTGTGTGTGTGTGTGTGTGTGTGTGTGTGTGTGCTTGTGTGGACACAGCGCACCCCATGTGGGGAGAGAACCATCTCACAAGGCAGCCTTGTCTATGTAGTTCAAGTAGGCCGTAAATGGTGATCCCGGCGCCTCTGCCGCATCTTGAGTAGTGGGGTTACAAGCGTGCACTGGGACCAGCTAAAATGAAGGGAGTTGGGGGCCTGCTGAGTTTGGGAAGTACGTCTCGACGGTAGGAACACGTGATGTGGCGAGGGGCTAAGGTGCAGAAAACTCTAGCAAGTTTTAAATGTTTACTGGCGGTCTGGGCTCTATTGCCATCTAGTGGACGCTGAGGAGAAAGGGATTGTTGCACCCTATTCAATAGAAAGGGAAGGAAGGGGGCGGGTAGAAGGAAGGAGGAAAAAACCATTTTCAAATTAATCTTATCAGTTCTGTAAAACTTCAACCTTTAGAACAGCGTGTGGTCAGTTATGAATAGACAGGTCAAATAAACTCAGTGTCATGCTTGGCCTGACAAGCTGACTACCTAAACTCTGATCCCAGAGCACATATAAAAGCCCATAGCAGGATAGCGCGAGCTTCCGTGATGCCAAGGACCAGGAGAGCTGAAAGAAGCTTGCTGGTCTGCCTGACCTGGGGTACACAGTGCACAGAGGCCTGGTCTCACGGTGAAAGGTAAGGGTCAATACCTGAGGGCTGTCCTCTGAGCTACACAGATCCCATGCTCACGGCTACACCCCACATAGGAAAACACACACAGATACACTCACTTGTCGCACACTCAAAACCACAGAAAGGAATAAAAGAACAGGGCAAAGAAAGGAAGACAGAGGAAATAAAGGGGGAAAAAAGATGGCTGAAGTTGGGTCATAAGAGTTTTCATTGCAGCAAAGGTGCCGCTGACCAGGCTGGCCTTGGACTCACAGAGATCCACCTGTCTCTGCCTCCGAAGTGCTGGGACTAAAGGTGTGCGTCACCACCACCCGGCTTAGTTCTTTTATTTCTATAGAACCTTCCAGTGCACTCTATAATTTTTTCTTTCTCTCTGAATCCCATCGCAAAAAGTTTTGGGGGCCAGAAGTAGTGGTGCACATTTTTAATCCCAGCATTCAAAAGAGGCAGGCAGATCTCTGTGAGTTCGAAGCCAGGCTGGCCTACATAGTGAATTACAGGACAGCTAAGGCCACACAGTAAGACCCTATCTTAAACAAACAGAAATGGAAGTAAATAAATAGTAAGAGTCTGCCTCTGTGGTTGAATACTCACCTTGCAAGTGCAAGGCTCCAAGTATAGTCCTCAGTACTGGAGGAAAAAAAAACAGCTCTTGTTAATTGATGTATCCCAAGCACCCAGAATACTGCCTAGCACATAGTAGGTACTTAATAAATATTTATTACATGAACAAATCTCACCTTAGTGATGAAAAGATATAAATATGATGGTCACTTTAGCTTTATGAAAATATAAAAATTTGTGTGTGTGTGTGTGTGTGTGTGTGTGTGTGTGTGTTGTGAGCGTCTTGAAACTGAATCCACGAATGTAGTATGTTTCTCTTCCTGTGGTCAAGAGGGAATTGTGTGTCTCTTCATGACTAGTAGCATTTCTTTCTCTTTTCTTTCTTTCTGCTGCAGAAAGGCGTAGTTTGTTATAGGAACAGAAAGGAGAGGGGATAGGTGTGCCAGGCTGAGGAGCGAGAAAAGAGAGAAGGGCTGACGTGTGGTACCATGACCTTTTCTGGGTCTGTAACACGGTACCCACCTCGCCCTAAGTGCGTGGGAGCTGGCTTTTCAGAGCACGTTCTGTTGGCTGAAAGGAGCTCAGGTACACTGAGTGCTGCCTGTCTGGTTCGGTTTTCGTTCTGAGACTGAGGCTCACTCTGTAGTACAAGCTGCCCTCAAATAAGCAACCCAGGCTAGCCACAGACTCATGGCCATCCTCCTGTCTGAGATTCCTAGGTGCTGGGATTACAGGAGTGAGTCGCCGCTCCACAATCAACTGTTAAAACTCATATCTTTGGACAAGTTGTTTTCATTTTACTAATTCCTAACACACCCAATCTAAACATTTTACAATTGCTTTGATGATGCATTATTTTAAAATGTGTTTATTGTCCATGTGTGGTGGCATATGCCTTTAGTTCAAGCATTTGGGAGGCAGAGGTAGGCGGCTCTTTGAGTCTGAAGCCAGCCTGATCTACACACTCAATTCCAGGGCAGCCAGGGCTGTATATTGAGAGCCTGTGCCAATACTATAATGAAAAGAAAAGGACCGGTGTTTATTTATGAAATACTTTGAAATCCATGTCACCCAAAAAAAGTTTTTCTGGGGTTTACTTCAGCAATATGGTTGAAAAGAAAGAGACCAGTATGGGCCCTGATGGATTCGTGAAATGATCTGTATATTTTACTAAAGTTTTCTGAATGAGATCTAAGCCGGCCTCAAACCCCTGGTTGGAGCAGTCCTCCTGCCTCAGCTTCCCAAGTACCTGACACTGCAGGGACACATGTCCCACCCAGTTCTTTGGGTGGCTCATTCCGAGCTGGCTTCAGCAGACACACCATCAAGTCATTGCTTCCTCCTTTGTTCACACTTTATAAACAAGTAACAGCCTGGTTGTTATTTTTTAAAATCTCATTTTTCCCCGTAAGATGGGGTAAAGAAAATTAATTCCCTTTCCTCCATCCCATTATCCTGGGTAGATCAGAGTCTGGCTTTTTTTTTTTTTTCATCACATTTAGTTGTTTTTAGTGTGTGTGTGTGTGTGTGTGTGTGTGTGTGTGTGTGTGTGTGTGAACATCTGCACAAAGCTGCATATGGAAGCCAGAGGACGACCTGAGCAATCAGTTGTTCTTCCCTTTTGTCCTGCGGATCTCAGGGATCACATGCTGATCCTCAGGCTGGGCTGCAAGCCCTTCTACCTGCTGAGCCGTCCTGCAGGTCCCCTGACTTTAGGTAAACAATTTGAACTTACAGAGAGCTTTTGTGCGAGGCCTCCAGTGATGAGAGAGGATCCAAGCCTGTGACTTCCCCAGAGACCTATCCCCAGTTTATCTGAAAGGCTCGCTGTCTTGGTAAAGGCTTGGTGTATGCTTGGGAAGGTCATTCTCCCCCTGCTCGGGGCAAGGGCAAATGTGTAGAATCTGGGACTTTTCTTCTGGTTTGCAGTCAGCGCACACTCTTAGACATCCTCCTCCGGTCCTCCTCTCTCTTCCCTGTTGTTAGCCATCGCATGCCCTGATGTCATTGCTGCCATTGTGAGCTGACAGGCCCTCCCAGCTCTGGTGGACATGATCAACCATAAGCAAGCGGGGGAACTGGAGCTGGGGAGGTGGGGGGGAGCAGTGGTCCCAACAACACCTTGGAGTTGGGCTGGGTCTGTGTGGAGCCCCAGAGATGTTCCCCAGCCCATTCTCTTTAAGAACCAATGAGTACAATTAGGGGCCTCCCTCCTGTGGTCATGGACCCGGGCCCTGGAGTGGAACTTGGAGTAGAAGATGGCCTTCTCTGTCAACTCATTCATTCTCCAGAATTCAACTTGTTCTCTGACTCAGTGGTGTTTGAAAGCACATTCATCCAGGTACCTCCTGCATCCCAGGGATGAGTCCTGAAGGTGGGGGACACCAGAGGGAACCAAAGGGTCTAGGTCCCAAAATCACCTCCCTTTGTGACTGTAGTGTGAGGAACACCCTTCAGACGTCCTGCAAAGAGTTAAGTAGTGGTTTGGTACAAGAAAGAACGTTGTTTGTTTGTTTGGCTTTTTTTGTTGTTGTTCATTTGTTTTGAGATGTGTCTTACCTGTAGCCTTGGCTGGCCTGGAGCTATGTAGACCAGGCTGGCCTCAAACACATAGAGATCCTCTAGCCTCTGCCTCTTGAGTTCTGGAATTAAAGGTATGTGTTACTACACTCATCTGAAGCATCTTTTTAAAAGGGTTTGTTTATTTATTTGTTTGTTTTAAAGATTTATTTAATTTTAAATTGTGTCTATCTGTACACACGAGTGCAGTGCCCTGGGAGGCCAGAAGAGGGCATCAGATCCCCTGGAGCTGGAGTTACAGGTGATTGTAAACTGCATGATTGGGGTGCTGGGAACTGAGCTCCAGATTCTCTGTAAGAGCTGTAAACACTCCTCGTGGTCCAGCTGTTTCTTTAGCCCTGAAAGGAGCCTCATGGTGTACAAGGAGCTCCATTCAACCATGATCAGCGGTAACTGTCTAAGCAAGCTCTATCCAAGACCATTTGGACCAGAAATGCATGATTACAGACACCCAGGGCATTCCCTCTGGACTTTGGCGGTTGAAAATGGTGCGCCAGACAGCAGGGGTCCCACAGCCACTCTTTGCGGGTATTGCTGAGGTTCTGGTAGGGAACGAGCAGGCAGAGGGACTTGGAAGTACCCAAGTTAAAGTGGAGAGACTGGGCAGAATCAAGGCTCTGACGTCAGGACCCACAAAATGAGCCAGGGAGCCGTAGGGAAGA